GATAGATAGATAGATAGATAGATAGATAGATAGATAGATAGATAGATTTATTTATTTCTTATTTATTGTTTATTCCGATGTTCACGTTTGGGTTATGATTTATGGCTCTAAAACAGAAAAAAAAATTTAGATTAGACGAGTCAGCGTTGAATTTACCCCCCCGTCTCAGACAGGGAACTTTTATATGTGTCACATCAAAGCGGCCCAAAATTTCAGATTAGTATTAATGTGTGAGGTAGTGAGGAAAATGTGCTCATCAGCTGAAGTCCATTAGTATAAGTAACAGTTTAGTTCAGAAGTGGCATTTTTTATTTTTGTATACATTTCTTTGATCAGTTCTTTAAAAGACAAAACTCTAAGTATCATCACTTTAACTTTAATTGTTGTTTAATCTATCTTAATAAATCATCTGTTTGTGGGAGCTAATCGCTCTCTGAGGACACCACCAGATAAAGATCTGGAAGCTTTCTTGCTTAATTTTGCCTCTCAAATAAAGTGAAAGTTGTCTTTTTCCATGAGCCAAAGGCATCCAGAGAGTTTGCAACAACCCATCATGTCGGATCAACGTGAAAAGTATCCCATTTCACAGAGGTAAACACGAGAGCATCCCCCGGAGTCCAGCTGGCCACTGGGTGGTAATTACCTGTTTGGCCGCTCCGCTGAGGCTGGACCTGTTGTTTTCCACAGAGCAGGTGGAGCGGTGAGAGGCCTCTAATCACGCTGTTGTTCATGTCCTGACATCCACTGTGAGCATCACAGTTAGCAATAATGACAGCCCAACACAACAAGTTTGCTTCAAGGGATGTTGTTGCTATTTGATGAATAAATTGCATCATACCATGTGGAAATTGCATCATCCAGACAAAGAAATCACTTTGTTTCACTTTTCAGCAGTTTTCTGTGACCTTTTGGCCGTTTTCGGACTCATTTTACATTCTAGTGTTTGCACAAAATATAGAACTCAGTCATTGAATTGCTTTTCATAGACAAACGATAAAAGGATAATAATGATGTGATGATATCCTTGTTAGCCAGAGAGCTTGATTGCATCAAACCTTTGCATAAAGATTTATATTTTTTCCACCCAAATCAAAAATAAAACATGCAGAAATATTGATTTTTAGAATATTTCTATGTCCATCCTAAAGATGTGATTGTATACACACACATTAATTAAATTCATCACAAACAACATGGATTTATTTTAATAATTGTTACAGCAACAAAATAAAACATCTGCAGACATACTTCAAAATGAGTCAAACACCATTTTATTAAAACATAATCAAAATGACACACGTATAATCTGTTAAATCAGTATTAACAAGAAAAGAAGCAATGGGCCTCAGATGTATTCGTCTCACTTGTTACCAGACACCAACATTTGGGTATCTGGCTGAGTCAAATTACATATTTAAAGAAACGTCTTCATCCTCAGTGGAGTCCTATTTACCCTTTATTAGGCCCTGTTACTGAAATCATGAAATGTTTAACATCTGGTTTATGGAGTATTGTTTTCGACCCCACACTTGTATATGTATTTCATATGCAAGGACCCTGATTTTTGTTTTTATTAACTTAAATTGTGTGATAATGCTCTAGAATCTTATTCTTTGTCCATTTATAATCTAAATGTCTACCCTTCGCAAGGTAAAGAATTTATTGTTATTTATCTGCATAGTGACACATAAATTCCACAAAATTCCACATGAAAACAGAGTTTGTTGTTAAATTGGATTGAGTGACTTTGGGTGTCAGTAATTTTTTCTGTGTGGAGTCTGCTTGTTCTCCATGTATGTGTGGATTTATTTTCCCCTGGAAATGACTGTGAGTGTGTTTTCACTGTGTGGTGACCCTGTCCAGGATTTATCCCGCTTCTTACCCAATGACGGCCGGGATAGGTTTCGGCTCCCCCTGGTTTGGACGATGGATGGCTAGATTTGAATGACCTGCTGTCGCTATTGTAGATGCTTACAAACACCCACTATTGGTTAAAAAAGAATTGAAAAGCTTGTCTTAACCTGTAATCCATTTATTTTTCTTTGTTTTACTTTTGATTTTAAGCAGGAGGCAACAATTGGTACACTCATAGCTGCTGTAAGCAGGGCACCCTGAAGGATCGGTGTTAATCTTCAGAGGTCACCCACTGACTTTTAGCCCACAAGGCTAATAGCAGCGGACTTTTTGAAATTCCAGATGTTGTCGTAGGATTTAATGCATGGCAACAACACTGTTATTGTGTGTTTTAATCTTAACACTGTCCTGCCTGCTGTTGCTGAACACATCTGGCCCGCTGTGTGATTGTGTTCTTGTTTATGTTCACTGTGGGGAAAACTGCAAGGTTTAGTTCTTCTGAGGACATCTGGAAACACCTGCTTGTGTGTTTAGGCTTAGTTTATGGTTTGAATATTCTCGATCCGTCAAATATTGACCAAAATGTTCTATCTAAACAGAGGTCCTCATAAAGATAGAAACACAATTGCGTGGGCATGTGCCGTTTGTATACGTGTGTGTGTCTGTGTGTGTGCCAGACTAAAAGCTGCAAAGGGTTAAGAAGCTTTGTGATCCATTGAAGTGCTTAGATTTAGTAGAGAGAAGGAAAAAATAGGAACCGGAATCAATGCAATGAGAGCTTATAAAATAAAAATAAAAACAGATGGGCTGAGTGACAGGTTCGGAACGGAAAAGATTTGCAAAATCCTGAAAGAAAAAAAAAATAGGGGAAAAGAGATAAGGTCCAAGGGAGGGGTGAGGTTGGTGGATTAAGCGGGGTTAGAGAGGATTAGTGTCAGGTTTGGTTTGGTCGTAAACTCGCATCCGTCAGTCACTTCTGGTGGCTGCTGACATGCTAACACCGTTGATTCACTTCGGCTAAGAGATCAAACACAAAAAGCATCACTGCGAAGGAAACTGGACCACAGGAAGAGGAGGTGAGCTACTTTTCCTCAGTTCTGTCGTTATATATATGGTTTCATAGCATGTGAAGAAGATGCAAGTGTGTTGGGGTGTACACATGGGAAAGCAAAAGGGTAGGCAGATTCAAATGTGAATGGAGGCCAAGTCTTCTGATGCACAATGGTCCACTGAGCTAAATACGACCAAACCTCCCCACACTTAAACACTTAAAGCATTGACTCTACATATTATCTTCTGTACTGAAATATGACACCATTGTCATAAGATGAGCTTCAAAAAGGTTGATTAAAATTTGAAATAAATGTTAGAATAAACACAATGCTAATATATTATCAATCTCTCCGTGTGTGTTTTAAAAGATTTTGTATTTTTGCTTACCAATGTATCTTGAACTAAATAAGATATACAATATTATATTTGTCATAGGATGAATTCTATTTTTCTTTGTGGTCAAATTTGATTTAAAATAACTTTTGCCTTTAAATTTTGAGGACAGGCAAAATTTTGATGTAGCACACCCGTGTTTTGAGTGAATTAGAGGATACTTGACTTTTTAGAATTGTTAAACCCTTTACTGAAGTGTTAAAAGATATATAAGGCATGTCTGACACACAAAGTGAACATGGACCAGCATTGTGGCCTGGACTTAAATGCATGTGGACCAATAAAGTACTGACCATGGACAAGAAACAAGTGACTTCATCTAATTCTCAAGACTGGAGTTAATAATATCTCAGAACCTTTATATACAGTAGTGTGAAGTTTATAAAAGACAACAAACCGATTCATGGGGTTTTTTCCGTCTCTGAGCTGTTTGTATTTCTGAAGATGTAACAATGACGTTTGTTGGCTTCTAACTGGAGCTCTAAGTGGAAACGGAAGCTGCGTAAGGATTAGAAGCTAACGAGATGGCATAACCTCAAATTAGACCACTTTTAAAGCCTACCAGTGCGAGAAAGTGATGACATAACAAAGTTTTTTTTAACTCAGTACTACTATTTTGTTTGCTTGATAGTTTGCCTAATTTGATCTGTTATCCTCTCACATATCAATTTATAAAACAACATACTTTCATTTTGATAATTATATTCCAATTAAGTGATTATTCATCAAAACATATTCTGATGTATAATGTGTCAATGCTCCTATTATATTTAATAATTATTTAACTTGATAATGCTTATGTTTCTTAAATGTATCAGCTTTAACAAACTATGTAGCTGTCATGTACTGTAATTTGGATTGAGGATTTATCCTTAAGTTGACTACAAATTAATTTCTTTCTATAATGAAACATATTTGTGATATCAATTTTTCACTCATTTCTTTCCAGAGGAACAATCCTTTCCATCCTCCTCAGTGGTTTTGGATAATCAACCATGAGAAAGAAAATGGAAGTTGGTGAGAAGGCACAAAGAAACTCCACCTCACTTTTTTTTTTTTGGGTCCAAATTTAGTCATTTAAGTCTACCTGTGTCTATCCAGATGTTAGTGAGGTGCTGTCCAGCGTGGTGGAGGACGTGGCTGAAGCTGTGAGCAGAAACATTAGTGGAGCTGAGCTCCTGCAGGAGCTCCTGAACGCCTCGTGGCTGCGCGCCCTGCTGAAGGTATCCCGCTCATCCTGCAGTGGAACGGAGGAAACAGCCATTATTAACCTGATCACATCATTATTACCTTATCATTCCAGATTTATGAGTGCCTGCTGCAGTTCCAGAGGCAATCCCCGAGCCCCGTTTTGCCTTACGCCTCAGGACTCTCGTGCGAGGTGAGCATTTTTGTGGAACATGTGGCTGTCGTCTGGACAGATTTGGAGGGAGGACGTATGATTATCTGGGGTTTTCTCACCACCTGGGCCAAGCATTGGATTATTAGTTTATAAGACTATGTAAAAATAGTTAATTTGCTGTAATCTAACACAGAAATCTACCATAACTGTACGTATAAATGTACATATATTAGTGCACCAGGTCTTTGTCCGATACTTTGGATGCAAAAAACAAGAAATTTGACTTCCTATTCCATATCTTTATTTGTATAGTTTGACCAAGAAAAGTTGCGTCTCATTTTGTCGCTCAATGTTAAAGAACACGGCTGTAAATTCATGGCAGAAAATTGTATTTTCACACAATCTTTGACAAAAATTTGACTTAAACTCATGAAATTGGGTCCAACAAAATGTTTAATGTATTTCATTTACCTAATAATTTTGCTTCCTTATCAGATTATGACGACAATCCAAAGGGACAACCATCCATCGGCTGAAGCTAGAGAGCTTTTTAACCTGCTCAGTTCCCCACACATCCAGGTGAGACCACCTCAATCCCCTTTTTATAACGCGTTTGATGCTATGGTGAGACAGGTTTTGATTCCCTTTATGTGTGTCAGGCCCTGTTATCGTCCCATGACAGTGTGGCTCAGTCTGACTATCTACCTGTGTTACCACCCCTGCCTGATGACCTACCTGACGATGAGGAGGCCATGAGAATTGTTTGTCTTGTAAAGAACAACCAGCCACTGGTGAGACAAAAATATCTCTATAATGGGCAGTTTTGTTTAAACGTTTCTATTTTGCTTTCATTTGACAAATAGCCTGCGTTTATAGAATTGTCAACATGTTTCATAGTATTTCAGATGGGTCTGGGTCTCCCACGTTATTACCTCATCTCTGGATTTGGAAACTATACACAGTGTAACGCCTTCTTTCTGTGTGCATCACTACAAAGTAAATGCCCAAAAGATATATCGGTTGGTTTTGTAGCCCCTTTTTACTCATTTGTTGGATCACTTGAAGAATTCAAACGGTCAAGGAGAGTTAGCTTTGATTTCCCAACAAAATCTAACTGCATAACAGATCATTGGAGTATTTTCTTGGAGACAATGAGGAAAACTTCACAAAAACCAAACATGTCTTTGCTGTAACCGAGCATGTGATTTTGAATTGAGTCTCACAAATCCATAAAATAACGTCAATCAGTTCTCATTCATCCTAAAATTGATCCTAAAAGCTTGAGTAAAGGCAACTGGACTTCTTCAGTTCATAAACGAGGAAGTCTTCTGGATTGGAGGTGAAACATCTTCAAGATCCAAGAAGTCCGGTTGCATTTACTCAAGCTCTAAGAATCAACTCCAATCGCAAAAGATGGCTCCGATTCAGAAATCCCACAGCTCCATTTCTCATCTTTCATTGTCCAAGAGAGGAGCGGAGCACAGAGGGAGCCTAGCGGACGGGGTGGGAGTGGTTCGTGGCCACTGGAGCAGCCTCCATCGCCTCAAACTGGAGCGCCTGGTCCCTACCAGGAGGGTTCAGTCAGAGGGTGAGGCCACGCCCCTCTCCCCCTCCAGGGGCCGCCGGCCACGCCCCTTTATTCCCCGATACCAGTCGACCGGAAGCTGCTGTCTGTGTCCGGGAAGCTCAGAAATTTGGAAGCAAAGGCTCAACCACTCAGCCCCGGATGTCTATAGACATCAACATATGTGCACCGGTAAGAGGGAGGAAAATGCAGCCAATCGTCTGCCCATTTTTCTTCCTTCGTTCAGCCATTTTAAAACCATTTGCCATCGCTCCCTCATCCATCCAGTTTGACATTTCCTGGCTCCATTCCTGCTCTGTCTTTAAAAGAAGTCATTGAGAGAAAAATGACTTTTTCATCAACCAACTTTCACCCCACTTCCTTCCATTTTCTTCTCACTTCTTTATTGTTCTAATCGTATTCTCCATCTTGCCATCCGCCCCTTGGGCCCCATTCCTGTGTGCAGTAAACTCTTTTTGAGTGGGCTTTTCTTATCCGTGTTGCTTTTCCTTGTCAGAGAGACTAAGCCGAGAAGAAGAAGTTGCGTCCAGTGACGGGGACGACTATGCTTACCCTCCTCCACCAGTCCCAGCTTATGACCCCAGCCTTCCAAAATCTCCCCTCTTGGGCAAAAATAGTGCTCCGACGGGACAATCAAAGAGACTTCCTCCTCCCGACGAGGCCCCTGTGAGAGTCCGCACTGCTCCTGGTAGTCCAGCGTCCAGGCAGCAACCAGGCCGGACACTGGGGCAACATGGATGCAAATCCGGGCCTCATGACAACCCCCAAAAGGATCCTCGTGAGCTCCACTATGCTACCGTTCCTCGACAAAATGGCTGCCGCGACGAACCGAAACTGACGCGAAATGTCCGGCAGCAACAACCGGACGAGCCAAAACCAGAGCTGGACGGCATGGAGGAGCTGCGGTCCACCGTCCGGTCGGCGGCCAGCAGCATTCAGCACAGCAGCCGGGACGTGGTCCAGCTGGGCCAGAAGATGGCGGCCGCCACCGAGGCCATCGCGGGCAGCGTGGAGGAGAACGCCCAGGCCCTGAGCCTCCTGGCCCAGGTGGTGGACAAGCTCCAGGGGATCATCGCCGCCCAGAAGCAGCCCGAGGCTCCGAGACAGCGCAGGGGCCCCACGCCCCCCCCCCGACTGTCCTCGCTATCCCCCAGAGCGGTCAGAAAACCCCCCACGCCGTACCCACGCCCCCCGTCGCCAGACCTCTCCGCTTCTGGTTCCTCTTCTTCCTCGATCAGTTCCTGCTCAGACGTCTTAGCCGGGTTCAAAACCCCAAATCTAAACGGAGGATCCAGAACTGACCAGAGGGCAGGGGGCAGTAATGGAGATGCTCGGGTTACCGGGGGGAAAAGCACAAGAGCCCGACCGGAGAACACAGACCGTGTGAGCACGGGCTGTCTGAAGGCCAGGAAGAAGAAGAAGTGACCAAACTGTTTTGTCTCCTGACCGCCGGCCTCTCTGTCTGAATTGGACAGTGACTCAGATTTAAAAGCTTTAATCCGCACGGAGGAAAATCATTTTGAGAATAGAAACAATGCTGGAGTTAGATCAAATCGCTTGGTTTCCAGATTCAAATCCACTCTTTGTCAGCAAAACAGCTTTTTTGCTGGCTCGTTTGAGGAAGAAAAGTGATTTATATTTTCAGGTATGACGTTTTTCATTATGAATTGCCGTCCCATCATGTCAACACCCATCACCCACCATTCCTTGACGATGGGTTTATTCTCCCTGAGATCGCCCGTTGCTTTGAAGTCTTACAAGAATCATTTAATTAGTGTCATCTTGGGGTTTTTAGGAGGCCAGGCGTGAGATTTGCAGCCAGCACATTCTGCTTAATCCACGGGGGCCATAATAATACACTTACATTTCAGAGCAATTTGGAAAATGGATATCAGAGGCCCACGAGGATCTGATAATCCACTAAAAGTGTGTCATTATTGAAGTTATCTGAAGGCTGAGCAAAAACTACAGCCCAGGCTATTTTTTTTTTTTGATAAGCATATGACCTAAATTCTCCCTTAAATGAAGACATCCACTCTCAAAATTCAATACAGCTGTTATGTGTCTCTATTTTAACTCCTGATTTTAAATGTACCTAATACAAAATTAATATGATCTGATAAATTCTCTCTGGGATGAAGGAGGCCTGAGGAGCTTTAAGTTTAAGACTCTGTTAAACTGCTGCAGCCATTTTATCTAAAAAAGTCCAAAGTATACGACATGGAATAAAAAATCTTTAGTTTCTATTCTAAAGGCCGTTGTTGATGTCACCATAACCTTTGGGCATATTCATTTCAGCCACCATTTTCACTTGTTTACCTGTAGCTTCTAAAGGTTTTAATGAAAAATAACAGCGGACATTTTTCTAACAGGGGGCAACAATAAGGAGGGACGAGGAGACGGGGGATATCTTCATCGCCCGCGTCATTCATGGCGGGCTTGCGGACCGCAGTGGTGAGAAAAAGCTGTCTTTGAGCATCCAAACCTACCAGCTCACATCCAGGTGACAAACATTTAACCTGGGTTTGTGTGTCAGGGCTCCTCCATCCCGGTGATCTCTTAGTGGAGGTGAACGGAAGCCCAGTGGTGGGCCTGGAACCAGAACGGGTCATCCAGATCCTGGTGAGCGAATTATTTTATGAATAAATCTGCATTTAAAAGCATTTGGATGAACACAATATCATGAGAACTTGCCTGGGATGTTTCTTTTTCCATTTTGAGCTCAGAATAAGAACCAAATGAACTTATAAGTAAATTCCACCATTCATTTGACTTTTAAAGTTAATGTGGCACACATTTTTCCAGATTTGATGGATTTAATCTGTGTTTAAATAAAGCAAAAATTAAAAATATTCAAATTAAAATGAATTTCCATTAAGTCATTGGATCTTAATCCGCATTTAAAAGCATTTGGATGAACGCAATATCATGAGAACTTTGGGTGTTTCTTTTTCCATTTTGAGCTCAGAATAAGAACCAAATGAACTTATAAGTAAATTCCACCATTCATTTGACTTTTAAAGTTAATGTGGCACACATTTTTCCAGATTTGATGGATTTAATCTGTGTTTAAATAAAGCAAAAATTAAAAATATTCAAATTAAAATGAATGTCCATTAAATCATTGGATCTTGGGCATAGCTTAATACATATTTGTTTTGTTATTTATTACTTATTCTCTCCATTTCAGACCAATTCCACAGGCACAATCCTGTTTAAAGTCATTCCACATCCTGCACAGGTCAACAGCGACCAAAAGCCGGTAAGACCCTTTTTTTTTTTACTGTTGTGTAAATTTCTAAAAGCACTATGCTGTGAAATGCTTTTAGTGTGTACGATATCATTAAACTCCCAATTTTAGAGAATCCTTTAAAAAGGCAATCTTTTAAAGGGCTATTTTCCAGTTTTGGCTTCTCAAAAATGTTTTAAAAAACAACAAATTCTTCCTTTTTTTTAAGGTTTTAATGCAAATGCTGCAAAAGCAGACATGCAAAACTGACTTGGAATAATGGAAAAGAACAGATACAATGTATTTACTCCTGAAAAATTGAAAAAAATATAGGGTTCACATCAATGCAATACTTTAAATGAATATTTCACCCTCTTTTCCGGGTTTCTCAGGTGTACATGAGGGCGATGGTGGACTACTGCCCCCAGCAGGACTCCTCCATCCCCTGTCCCGACGCAGGAATGACGTTCAGCCGGGGAGACCTGCTGGAGGTGGTGGACCAGTCGGACAGTCAGTGGTGGCAGGCCCGGAAGCTGCCCAGAGGAGGGGCCTGCGCGGGCCTCATCCCCTCCGCCAGCATGCTGAAGAGGTACAGCGCCACCTGCAGTTCCACCAAACCGCCACCAGAGGGAGCTGTCGGCCCATATAGCAGAATTTAGCAGTTTAAAATGGTCAAAGGAGTTTATAATGGGACCCAATTAGATCTGAATCATTTTACTGGTTTGTTTTACTACAAAGTGATTTGACTATATAAAGCCTTAGCATACAAATGAGTCATTTAGGGACTGAAGATTTCGCCTTGCTTATTCCACAATTTATCATCTTACTACACCGAACTGATTTTGCTTTTATAACTTACACTCACAGTTGATGCTACTAGAAGAGGGGAATAATACTTTAGTGGTGCCAAAAAAAAGGATAATTCCACCTTCATTTAATATCAATATAGTCTGTAACCATATCTAACATTAACAATATTAACATTGAATGATATTTTCATTTAAATTGAGTTGTTGTTGTTGTTTTTGTTGCCTCGTTCTGTATCTCAGCTTTCTGTTGTTTTTTTTTCATTCCCTGCAGCAAGCAGAGGGAGAACTGGTGGTGCCAGCCCTTGCAGGTTCACACCTGCATCAGACCCCGTAAGCTCCCGCATTAATGCACAAACACTGAAGGACAAACTCAGCGTGCAGACATCCCAAAATGGAGCTGATGTAGAACCACAAATGTGGACGTTTTTTTTTTGGCAAAACAACTAAATTTCAGACCCATCCAACACTACATTTTTATTTTGATTTAACACTGAAAACAGAATCTTGGGTTATTATTGAAAAAGTATGCTCAGGTTTCTTAATTTCATAACTCATGGTTTAGGTTTTCAGTTATGTCACGCTTGGCTTGATAGAGATATTTTGGGGATATTTTGAGTTGGCAGTCACTTCACGTTGTCTGACGCTTGACAGAATTGTGTAGAATTGTGGCTTTCAAACAGATTTTGATGCCTGTTTCTTTCCTTCCTGCTTCCTGCTCAGTGTCCGTGGCTGAAAACGGTGAGTGTGACGCATAAAGAAAGTCACCTGACACGTCACTCAGTTTGCCTGGAGATCGGCATTTTAACACATAATCTTTAAATCGCCGACCCAATCGAGGCAGGTTTTTGTTTCATGAAAACTCTCTGGTATAAGTTGTGCATTTATTTAAATTTGCACGGAGAGGTTGCGACCTTTTATGAGTCCAAGAAAAAAGGAACAGACAGAAACTTGATTGAGATATGAGAGCTTGAATTTGAATTTAAATAGGAAAATGTGTTGAGCAAATGTTATCTATTTGAAAAAATATTTAAATTTAAATTTAAAGTTAGAAATTAAATAAAAAATAAAAATGAAGAAGGTGGTTGTGTCTTGTTTTCTTTTTCTAAACGGGTCCATTTGACTCCATATTAAACTAAATCGCTGTGAGTTTAAGACAGCAGCTTTACCTGCTTCTAAATGCAGCTAACCGTTTTGTTTTTGTTTGCTTAATCTCCCATAGAAGACGACCCGACGAATGCTGACGGAAAACACGTCATAACAGGTAAATTCAACCATTTTCTGAGTGTTTCTGAACTGAAGCTCAGCGAGCATCAGCAGAGTTGAAGAAACTGATATCTGTGTTTTTTTTCTTCTCTCCAGATATGGAAAATATCAAAGAATTAAACTTTGGTAGGTAAGTCTGCCCGGACCCTCATGTATCGATCGCATGAAGATTAGTAGATAATAACTGCTGATTGCTTACTGATTCTTTATTCTTCGCACACAAAAGCTGAAGAATTGCTGAAGATTTCAAAGCAGAACACACCACTAATCATGCTGATCCATTCATGAGCTGATTCTGTGTGCTCTGGACTACAGAAACAATGTCTTTTGTCATTTGTTTTCTTTTCATAACATAGTCGCAGGATGAATTTGCATTTCTACTCTAACTAATCTATTTTGTGCCTGATGAAAAGAGGAGTGTGACTGTTTCTTTTCTTCAGATGAGGCCGATTCGGATGTAACTGATGGGATCTACCTGGGTAAGTTAGAGCTGAGGAGCACATCATTTGTTTTTTTTCTAAGATCAGGTTAAAAAAACACAGAACAAGAGACATATTAGCTAAGTTTGGACAAAAAAACTATCTTTATTATCTAATCATTAAAATTTGTGTTTAGATTCAAAGCTTTATTTATTTATTCTATTTTTTTCACTGGTATAATTTCATCCCTGGCTCTTGCTTCCCTCCTGTTAGAAAATAATTTAGCAGTGAAGTTTCTGTAAAACACTACAGAAAATAAGGAAAACACATTTTTCAGGTTGACTGATTACATGTAAATAGATACGTTTCCATGATTTATAGCTTTTCTTTGCTGATCCAGGTTGATAAGCGTCACATTTACATATTTTTTAATCAGTTATTACCAATGAATTCATGAGAAAAAAAGAGATAAAAGTTTTTGCAGAATTCAGATCCTGTTTTTTTTTACTGAATGGGTTCATAAATTAAAGCGATCTTCGCCCTCGTCAGCTGGGTTCCGCCGGAGCTTCCGGCTCTGGAGGAGGACGTCCTACAGGAAGAGACGGCAGTCCTGCACCTCCTGCTCCCCCAACATCAACGCCCTGTCCACGCCCTACGAGGAGGTGGCCCTGTACCAGCGGCCCCCCCAGGAGAACCACCGCCTCATCATCATCATCGGTGAGAGGGGGAAAGCCCAAAGAACAACACTCATTTTCCCCTGAAAGGTTCATATTGCCATTTAGTTTATACATGAAACAACTTGTTAGAGATTAAATATGACAGAAAAATGCAGATATCTGCTGCTCGTGTTCATCTTATCTTCTCATATTTGTCCATAATTGATCTGATACATTGAAAATAACTTGCCGGCACACAGAAATCAAGGGAAATGATAACATATTTTCCATTGTGCGGCCACATCCTTTTTTTATTGGAGAATTTGAACAGTTCTTGTAGATGGGCTCTTTCATCGAGCCCCTGAAAGTTAAAGGGAAACATTAGAAAACCTCAGAGTAAAAAAAGAGATTAATTTAACCATCCAGTCTTCCATCCTGTCAAAGTGAGCCTGGAGCCATTGAGACGTGGAGTTTGAACTTCTCTATCTAAGGTAACCTAACTGTTCTGTCTTCTTCTGATCAGGAGCTTCAGGAGTTGGAGTCAATGAGCTGAGGAAGAGACTCATCAAGCTGAACCCGTCCACCTTCCAGGGACCGGTCCCCCGTACGTGCCGCCCGCTCATTTAATGAGCAGCCATAGATAAATGTTGAAACCTGACAGAAAGCGGCACACAGTGTGTATCATTAAGACGCCAAGGAAGATAAATGTTTGAACTTATTCTCTCTTTCGGCCTTACACACTAAAATTCACCTTTAGAAATGGTTTTAGTAGCTTGATAACCTCTAATATTTACGACATGTGCACCAGCAAATGCTTTGAGAGGGTGTTAAAGGGATAAAAATGCAAATCAGAAGCATTAAGGGATGCTCAGAAACATCACTGTGCTTCTGCAGACACCACTCGCCCAATAAGAGACGGGGAGCAGAACGGCAGAGAGTACCACTTTGTGACCAAAGAGCTGTTTGAGTACATGGTCTGCAACCACAGGTAGGTTCCTCTCTGCTCGTTTCTTTAGCGTTTCTTTTACTCGGCGTGTATATGAGTGTTCGCGTGTTTCTGGGCTCAGGTTTGTGGAGTACGGGGAGAATAAGGGTCAGCTCTATGGGACCAGCATCGACGCCATCGACGAGGTGCTGAAACGCGGGCGGATGTGCATCATCGACGTTGAGCCGCATGTGAGTGTCCTTAAAATGGAGGGTTAGCCCCTTTTGTCCTGTACAAAAAGCTTTATAAAGCTACTTTTCAAATATCAGTGATTCAACGTACAAATTTCATTTCGAACTTTAACTGACCATGAAAATTCAATTTGAATTTATTTATCGCCTTAACTTTTGTAAACTTGACAATATGATGATTTGTTCCTCTTTAATTATTTTCTGTGTTATTTTATTTCTGTTTTTTGTCATTATTTTACCAGTGTCTCCTGTTAATTGTTTTTATTCAAGTAGTTTTTCATTAAAATGGTTTTATCTTTAGCTTTTCTTCTTTTCAGAAACACTATAAGTGGCATTTTTTGGCTCATAGTTATTAATTGACACATTGAAATATGTCTAATTTTTGTAGCCTTGGTAAAATGCTTTTCGTCTTTTTATGCTTGTTTTATTTTCAGTGCATCCAGCTGTTAAGGACAAGAAAACTGAAGCCCTTTGTGATCTTCATCAAACCCCCGAACCCAGAGAGGTTGAGACAAACCCGGAGAAGCGCCTCAATTATCACCAACTACGCCATCAACAGAGCTCTCACGGTAAAACTGGAGCCGACACCTCGCATTGAAAATGTCCATTTCTACCGTTTCATAGCAGGTCAAAGGCAAAACAGGTAGATTCAGTCTGAACCGACCTCTCTCTACACACAGGAGGACGATTATTTGGAGCTGGAGGATGCTTCCCAGATGATGGAGGCTAAGTACAAGCAGTTTTTCGACAGCGTTCTGGTGAACGACGACCTCCAGGATACCTGCATCCAGCTGTGCTCCGTCCTCCAGCAGGCCCAGAACGAGGCCCAGTGGGTCCCCGTCAGCTGGCTCAGACCCGAGGGGGGAGGGGAAGTGAGAAGGGTCAGTTTGGGGCACTTTGTATCATATCAGAGAGACGGCGGGCAAAGTCCGGGGAGTGTGGGCAAATAAGTGTTGACAGCAGTGGATGTACATATTTGACTTTCCTTTTACTTTTTTTCTTTTTTTTTTTTACTAATTCGGCTAGATTGTAAACACTAAATATGATTAAGGGTTTATTCTATTTTGTCTGATTCTTTTGTACAATATGAAAACATCAGTTTTTCAAACCCAAAAAGGTAAAAGGAGGAGAAACTGAATAACAACTACCTACTTCCTGTAACAACGTCAATGAAATGTCAATCTCTCCATGCAGTCTGCAATTAGAGGTGGCTACATGAAGCAGTATGCAAATAAATGAAGTAAATGCAGTATCATGTGTGGGTGTTCCTTCTTTACCTTATAATTTGGGTTTATTATCAAAACAACTCTGACTGGGATGCCAGTGTCTTTGTTTAGTTTCTTACAGCAACTTTAGATATATTTCCCCCTCTTTCCAGGCTTGTATTTTGCATGTCGACCATGTTTTGTTTGCACAATTTGGCACAAAACAAGCTGCTGACATCAGGTTTGTCAGTTCTTTGAGCTGCTGTGGACCCCCAGATTGGGTGAATCATCAGCAGAAAGAGCTTTAACAGTTCTTATTCTAATCCATCATTGGAATCGTTTTTGTTCACAAGTTTCTCATGTTCATTCCCGGCTGGAGGGCTGGAAAAATGTCACACGCTCTCTGCAGACGAGCGATGGCTTGTGACACCTCGTGCGTGAGGCTCCATTTGTTCATTTAGCTGCACAAACAGGGTGTGAACGCTTAATGAAAAGTCCTCTGTGAAGTGCTGAGACCGAGGCCGGGACACTGAGATCAGCTGAGACACGACAAACGTGCGTGAAATCCCTTTTGTCTTGATTCCAAACCTAAAGTGGCTGCAGGTGATTCTCAGCTGAGGTTGCCGCTTCATTTAAATATTCCATTTAACCCCCTCAGGTTGCTGTTCACAAAACATTGTCTTAGTTTCCTCTTTTTAATGATCTGGTTAGGAATGCTGATGCTTAATATCTCAGATCATCCATAGTCTTTTATTCCTTTTCACATGACAGCATGTACATACTGTGCTGTGAGCCTTTAGCGTGGCGTTAAACTATAAAGAGACACGCCACACGACCTAAACCGGACTCACACGTCACATCCGTGACCGATTCAATTTCAGGCGAACTTGTTTGTCCTCATGACACGGCTGTATAAAAGCTCAGCGTCCGGTCAGCGAGTGACCACAAACCCACCCATCTCCAGGAGGAAGCAGCCCCACTTCAGTGCAACCATGAGAACTCTGCTGGTTTGCGTCCTCATCTCGGGCCTGTTCGGCGCTTTGCCCGCCGCCCCTTCTCCTTACCACGCTTTCTGCAGCGCCCTCTGGTAAGAAACACACACCGATCTCTCTTCATTTGTTAGTTTTGATCATTCGGACTACGTAACGCTTTGCTTTTCCAGGCTCTTTGAGACGCCCTGCGCCAAAATCAGCTTCTTGCTCGAGAAACAGATCGAAGACTTCAGCCCTCAGTATCAGGTAGGAGCAAAACTACTGTTCAAGCCTGGACTCTGTTTGTCGGCGTATCGCTAATCGTAGCATTTCAATGTCTTCTCCAGCTTGTGTCGGCCACCCCTGTGATCATAAAAGCCAACCACACTTCTCTTGATGGGCTACAGGCTGAGAACATCACCTTCACTTTAATTCCCACCATTCTGACCAGCAGCTGTCGCGTGTCTGTAAGTTTTTCTTTAGTTCTTTTTAACAATAGCTGCTCCTCTTTTTGCTAGCAGAAGTAAAGTATGCGCTCTGTCCAAAATGGGAGCATGATAGGAATACATTAATGTCTGGACCCAACGGCCCATATTTGTCCATTTAGAGGCCCTGAAAGGTGCACTTTTGTTCCTAAATTATAAACAGGACAAGCTGTAAAGCAGGTGTTTTGAGGGCAACGCCCCAGAGATGTGTCTTCGGCCCCCTAAAAATGCAATAAGACGCATTCTTTTCTGAGAGTGTATGAAGCTCGCACAGAATTACTTCAGAAAAGGATACTTTATTCATTCGGCTGCTGTTTTAGTTTAATTTACAGGCCAGAAAATTCTCTAAATTGTTTTCCTCGTTTTTACAGGGTCAGTCTGTTTCTCTGAACTTCACCACGCTTCTCGACGGCGGACTCAACTACTGCAACCTCTACAAGCTGCTGGCCGGTGAGTTCCAAGCCCAGACCCCCACACAGTGACCCACCTATGTCATGACCAGACTCTGACTAAAGTCATTCCAAAACTTCATGAGGCTAGGTGGTTTAAATGGTCCGTTCACGGTGTCTGTTTCAGCGAGCGGCCTCACCTCAGACCCGGGCTTCACAGAGATGACCAACGTCTGGGCTTGCCCTGGTTATGGACTCTCCTCCTGCACGGCCTAGAGAGCCCCAGGGATGGATTTTCCATGAGAGGCTGTTTCCAGTTCTGCTGCCATTGTTGCTCTGCAGAGGCTGCTACTATTCGTCCACCATTGTTCAATATATTGTTCTTTTTCTTTTTTTTTGGTTTGACACCATTTGAATATTAAGCTGATGAGAATTTATATTGAAATGTTAATACTTTCCAAATCGTGGAACAGCACTCTGCTTGATTAAGTAACTGTTAAAATGTGCCTACTGGATTTTTCTGCCTACTAACTACCTCTTAAAACTTTTTTGGTTTGGCTGTGTTTGAATTCAGTGTTGAACAGAATTAAACTGTAATAAACTGTAATTAACATGTCAACTGACTAGATTTTTCATTATGAGGCAAATATTTTTTTACTAACGCACCTCACAGACGATCATCCATCATAATGGCTCCCTTCTTGGCTGCTTAAAATAAGAAACAAAAGCCAGTTTATGCTTCCAAAATGAATAACATTTCCACATTCATAAAAAAAACTGAACGTCTACAAAAAGTTGGAAAAGGACAGATTCAGGGATTCCAGGGATCCTTTCATTTCAAATGAGTTTGACCTGAGTTTTTGCTTATAAAAGCCTTATAAGATAACAGTAAAGATAGTAACTAATAAAACCCTACTGGGTAGTTTTTATGATTTTATGATAAATCTGAAGGAATAAAAGCAAAAAACAAAACAAGAAAATCAATCTGTTTTGGTTGTCAAATCATTTTTTTCTTTACCTACAGGTAAGTCTTTTTTATTCTGAACTATTTGTCATTAATTGAATATAACTGAAAATATTATCTCAATCATCAAGTTTTTTTCTAATGTGTGTTTTGATTAAATATCATATCCTTGTTTGGAAATAAAACAAGTTCATTTTCTAGTTGTCTTGTCACTTAACAGAACTCAAACTCATGTTAGATTTCTGGGCTTTTCCTGCTTGATAGGCAGCAGTCGTTCCCACCTTTGGTAAAGTATTAAACCCAGGGTATTTCACATTCTTTAACACACACCTGAGATAAGATCGTATGAAATGCATTTACTTTAGCAGCTTGTTGAAGCTTCACGCCTGGGTAAATAATCCACTGATACCCTCTAATAATGTGTACATTAACAGAATACTGATTCAAAAGCCCTTTTTAATATTTGACACATTTCTTTTACATAGAAAAAGGGAGCTACTGTGACAACAAAAGATGGCACACACCTTAAATGTAATATTTACTCATGGTGTTGTGTTTTTAGTGCGATGAGAGCAGCAGGAACCAGGCACTCACCACACTTTGAAGACAGAGGGAACACATGAGATTGTCTGTGAGAACAAAGTGGACACTGGGAGTAGGTTGTTGCTGCTGGAGATAATCGATTTTTACTGAATCGGGTCCCAAAATTCAACATTCAGGAGCCATGGCCACCATTGGGCAGATCGTCTTCTACAGGTATGGTCATGAGGTTTGGATGTGTTCTGTTCTGCTGGTGCATATATAAGCTCTAAGTGGTCAAGAAAAAGCTTTTGCAAAGGACTTTTCACATTTAAGAGTATAAAATCTGCAGTGCATGGATGCTTCATGAGAAAAGCATAAGCCAGAGTTGATAAGTAGTTCTCCAGATTTAAAAACACAAAAAAACTTCTGGTTTCTAAGATGATTTTTGGGCCTGTCTGGATATTCCTTCTTATTCTTGTTCTGTCCACATGCAGCATGGTGATCCTCATCGTCATCTTTGCGACCCTCATAATTCTGATTTTGGCCGTGGCCTTTTCGAGTAAGTTCCATCGATCTGTGTGCTGGCTGCATGTTGTTTGTTTAAACTAAGAAAGAAGTTGACACCAAGCAATATTAAATGTAAAAAGAAAAACTGGATTGGACATTCCAACTTTCCCTTAGGAGTGAGTGTGAGTGTGTGTGGTTGTTGGTCCTTGTGTGTCTCTGTGTGGCCCTGCAATGGACTGGGGACCATCCAGGGTGACCCACTAGGATAGGCTCCAGTCCCCCCGTGACCCCATTAGGGAATAAGCGGCTACGGATAATGGATGGATGTTTTATTTTTCTATTTTTTAACTGAATGAACTTAAAGTATTAATGTTCTTTTATTGGCTTTAAAATGTTTAATTCAATTTCGAAGTGAGAAGACAGAACTCTGTAATTTAAAGGAAAGAAAAGCATCAGCATTTTTACACTCCTTTGGCTCCTTTGAGCCTGTCCATTATGACCCAGCTTCTCAAAGTGCCACCTGGCCATCCCGTATAGAAAACTCATTTCGCTTGTATCCGCGTCACAGTTCGTGACCATCGTTAAGGGTAGGAACGAAGATGGACCAGTAAATCCAGAGCTTTGCCTTTTGGCTCAGCTCCTTCCTTACTACGACAGGCCGATGCAGCGTCCGCATCCATGCAGATGAACGGGTGCAAAGCTCTAAACTTCACACTGACCATCTTCTGGTTCTGAAATCCTCATCCGGGATGATGTTGCCTAGCAACAAGAATGCCAAGGGGGCTCCATTGGAGGCCCTGGAACTCTCAATGCCGAGCCACGCCCACCGCGATGTCGCACGGAATGTGACTTCACACGGAATGTGACCTCACAGACATTGTTTTACCCTCAACAGTGGAACAGAATTTCAGTCACAAACCTCTTTGAGCATTTTCGATAAGCATCACTTTTCTGAGAGAGATCAAAATTTACCGACATCCATTTACATCCATTCCTAGACCCTGCAAGTTGTCATAACTGTTTTATTCAGACAGTTTGATACTTGTTTCGACCAATCGTCAAAAAAAAACGACCAGACGCCAACGAAATGGAAAACTTCCAGTTTGTAAGCCAGCCTGAAACCACTCAGTCTTCTCTTCAATGGGGCGACATTGTCGACACTGAAAACCAACCAGATGGTATAATGCTCTATCCATTTGTCAACGGGAGAGAAGAGCTGGACAATCAACCGAACAACCAAGAAGCCAAAGATCTTCCCTCTGGAGAACCTCAGGAAACATCAAATTGCGAGTCTCCAGAGCCTGAAGATAAGGAGAAGGAACAGTCCCTGGAGTCTGTTCCTCCTCCAGAAAACCGGGGAGAGCAGAACATCCAGCCCGCCATAATCAACGAAAGCCAAAAACGTTCAACTCTCAACTTGAACACTCCCCAACTTGAGAACATATTGCAGCAGGAGAGGAAAAGGCGGCTCGAGTTTGAAAATCTCTGCCACATATACCATAAGAAACTCACAGAGACACAGAAGAGCTTGGAAACCGAGCGACTGATCCGTCTAACACATGAACAGAACCTGAGGAGAAGTGCAGAGTTCATTCGGACTTTGGGGGACTCCAAACTTCCTCCTGAAGACACCAACTGCAGACCCAGATATGCAGGTGTCAGCAAATCTAAGCTGATCGAAATGCTGGAGGCGGTCGAAGACCGAAACACAGACCTCTGCGTTACCATCGTCAAACTGAAAGAGGCCAACGCAGAGGTGCAAACTGTGAAGAAGCAGCTCTCGGAAAAGGCCTCACAGTGCCAAGAGCTGGAAGAACATCTATTAGAAGAGTGCACCAAAAGAACAGCCTGCAAGCAGGAATTGAGGAAGTGCCGGCGCATCATCGAGCAGATGGAGGAAGAGGAGAGGAACAAGAGGCTGTGTGAACACCTCAGAGTTCCCTCTGAGGTGGGAACTCAGACACAGACCTTAACCAAGAGCGAAGTGGCCAGTCAGACCCAGGAGGTACATAAGAGCAAAGTGGCCACTCAGATGGAGGAGATGACTCTGGGAGAAGCGGCCAGTCAAACAGAGTCAAATCTGTGCGAAATGGCCGCTCAAACAGAGGATTTGAATCCAGATGAGGAGGCTAGTCGCCATGAGGACCCAACCCATCAATCGTCCCAGAATACCCCTGCTGTTCCTGAGGGCCAATCCGACGGAGAAGTCATCGCAATGGCCCCTCCACCTGAGCACATCTGGGCCAACGTCATCATCCTGCCCCCACCTGCAGACTCCTCAGACGAGGACAGCAGCTCCTATGATGGCGCCT